CGAAAAAAGATTTTTTCTATGCTATAAAAAAATTCGGTGGCAGTCATAAATGTTTTCATGATTCTTGGCAGTATTTTGAAGGGTTTTATTTCTTTTTCATGTTTTTGAGCTGCAATTGTAAGAAAAACTGCCTAAAAACACCAGAAATTCTGATTATTTTTCTAATGTTTTGTCATTATTTTTTTGGTAGGGAATCACTTTGAGTTTTTCCTGAAATGCTCTCGACGTCGCCGCTTACTGGATTTGACAATTTTTCTGCTTCCTTCAGTTCGATTAACAAATCGTTCCAGTCGTTTTTAAAGGATTGTTTACCTTTAAAAGTAAATTTAAAATAGGTTTCAAAATATTCAGCATACATACATATGTATATACACATATAGTAATCGAATCGAAAATTAGTCATCTGCTCTTGAAACATCAGAACAGAACACATGTTAGGATGCATCAGAACTGCTTTGTTCCATTGTAATTATTACTACTAAAAACAATACAAAACAAATCTAGTTGTTTTCAGTCTTCATTAACGAACACTATTCTATCAGAATGAAAAACAACCTAGAAAAACGGATTCGTGTGTCTAAAATACAATAGGGAGAAATGATTTATAAATATATTTACTATTCGTTAATAATGAAGTCGGACGTAAAAAAAATAAAATGAAAAATATTTGTCATTATAAAAATTATGTTTTTCTTAACCCTTTCGCAGTCCAGTTGAAAATCGCTTGTGGTCCAAAAACGGTCCGATAAAAAAGTTTACAAAAAAATATGATTTCATCATATATAAGGTTTTTGGGGTCGCTGAATTCGAATTTGAGGTTGGTTTTTGAAAATTCAAAATGGCGGATCTAATATGGCGACCAAGGATAATTTTAAAATGAAAGCGTTTTAAGGGAAATTCATTTTTCGAGGGTTTTCGAGGTCACTCAATCCAAATCTGAAGTCAGATTTAAAAAATTGAAAATAGCGGACCCAAAATGGCGACTTCAAAAAAATTTGTTTTTCAGATTCGCTTAAAACTCGTTACTCGGTGGTTTCCGGGGTCTCCGATTACAAATATGATGTCAGATTTTCAAAATTCAAAATGGCGGATCCAATATGGCGGATGATTTTAAGATTGATGCGAAAAAAATATGAAGTTACCTCAAAAACCTCTGAGTAAACATTTTAGACAAATCTGTCAACATTCAAAAAATTTGATCGACATATTGAATCCACAATTTAGCATTTAGAAAAACGAACATCAAATTCGAATTCAGCGACCCCAAAAAACCCCGGGAACCGATATTCGATCGAAACGCATAAATTTTGAAATTATCTGCCATATTGGATCCGACATTTTGAATTTTGTAAAACGAACATCAAAATCAAATTCAGTGACCCTAAAAACCCCCGAGAAACGAATTTTAATTGAATCGCATCAATCTTGATATTATCTGCCATATTGGATCCGCAATTTTTAATTTTGAAAATCTGACATCATATTTGTAATCAGAGACCCCGAAATCCCCCGAGTAACGAGTTTAAAGCGAATTTGAAATTTTTTGAAGTCGACATTTTGGGTCCGCCATTTCGAATTTTTTAAATCTGACTTCAGATTCGGATTCAGAGACCCAAAAAATAGTAGTATGTACTTCGCTACTAAAATCATATCATGTTTAGTATTTTTTTTTAAGATATGGCCACAGACGCAAAGGTGGCACGACTTTTCGTGGCCATATATGGGCCATGGACTGTTCAGGGGTTAATTGTGATATCTCATTCAAATGAGTAAATTTCTCATTAAAAGAAAAATATAAACATTCGTTTAACAAACGGTCCTTCGTTTAAAGGCATTTTTATTTTAACGACGTCAATTATTTAAAAAATTAATTTGAGTATATACTCTGATTCAAATTTTAAGTCAAAAGGATCTTTCATTAATTTTGAAAGAAATACGTAAGAAATTCTGATTATAATCATTAAATGAAACGTTTGTTCAATTTAAGTTAAAATACAATTTCTAGAAATTTCATATTTGTTAATTATTATAAAGTTGTGATTTTATTTATTTATCTAGTTCAAACTTCGTAAATTTTAATTTCCTTTATGAGGATTAACTGTACAATTGTCACCAAGCAGACAATTTAATTACCTTGGCGTGACAGATAAAGTAGGAAGGCTATTGAATACCATGCAATTTTTGTATCTAAAAGTTATAATAATAAGGTAGGAAGTTCATTAACCGTGAAATTCTCCTGTCTCAACAGGTTCACACATCGTTTTGTTAAATTAATTTTAGATTATCGATATTATTTACAAAATCGTTTAATATGTATAAATAGCCATTCCTTTATTTTTGAAAAATAAATCGTTAATATTTTATTAGAAAAAGTCGTTAACTTCAGCCAAAACAAGTTTTATTTAAAGATCAGAAATTAAAACAGTCATTTAGAAAATTATTTAAACAATCGTTAAAAGAATTTGGCTGTCGTGAAGTAAGTTAAATTACTTACTTAAGCTGATTTTTTTTACCTTCAGGGAAAGTGACTGTGAGGGAAGAGATGTTGATGTCCATTTGTACTTCGACATCTACGGCACTCTTATCCATCTCGAGAAGTCGTAGACATTTATTTATAATTCTTTTTGTTGCAGTCGACATTGTGAACGGTTGTTTAGTACCAAAAAGCACTTCGTTTTCTTCTTTGATCGTCGTATACCACTCGTTAATGATCTGGGCACACACTCAGAAATAGCCTCCGCGCGATAGGCAAACCACGCTGCGAGCACGCCGGTCGCGATAAATTTTTAAACTATGTATTACTAGGGTGACCGTTATTTTGCGAAAGTTGGAATTTCTTAGTTCGCCGGGCAGAATTTGCTTTAGAATGTGAAAAAAATGAGCTATGCAAAAAAACAGCCCAATTGATCAATATTAACCCGTGCCACCGAAGGGTTAAAGTTTAAATGGGGTTTAACATAGGATTAGTGCACTTTTTTACATTTTGTATGAGAACTTTTTTTTTAATTAATCTTTTGCCTTGTCGACATATATATTTATGGTTTTGGATGTGCTGAACACGAATCCGATGTCAAAAAAAAGTTTTGACAGCTTCCAGCTGTCAAAAAAGCTGTCAATCTTTTTAAAATGACAGTTTTTGTGTGAATTTAGATAGTTTTTGTGTTTAGTTTAGTAAATCAAACAAAATTTTGCTCATATAAAAGTATTTTAAGAACAATAAAGTCAATCTAAATAGCAATATGTAATATTGACAGTTGACATCTGTCAATTAAACTGTCAAACTTTTAAAAACGAGAGTTTTTGACAGTTTTTACATTAAATTACTTAGATAAAAATATTTTCAGGGTATTGAGGTAAACCTTAATAGAATTATGTAAGTTTGACAGTTGACAACTGTCAATTAAGATGTCAAACTTTTAAAACGGAGACTTTTTACATTAAATTACTTGTATACAAGTGTTTTTAAGCACACTGAGGTTAATTATATTAGCAATATGTATTCTTCACAGTTGACAGCTGTCAATTAAACTGTCAAACTTTTAAAAACGAGTAATTAATTTATTACCAACAATCTGTGTGTCGACATCTCCAATGAGAAAAATACTTTCGCGTAAAAAATAATTGTTGCACGCCATTGTTGACATCAATCAATATATAATTAAATTTAAGTCATTTTAAACAGACTGTAGAATTAACGACTGCTCACCAAATGACACAAGACTACGAATCAAAGAAAAACAATGGTATAGATCGACCATCGAGATATGGACTTGGCTGTTAGTCGATAGATGTCGTTGATTTAAGCCGCGAAATTTTAAAAAAACTTGGCGTTTCTTTTAAACATAAACTTATTATAAGCTAATATACTTATATCTTAAACTTATAAGATTATATACGATAACAAAAAAGCTCCTTCTTAAAAGCTTGTCAGCTTAATTGACAGCTGTCAACTGTGAAGAATACATATTGCTAATATAATTAACCTCAGTGTGCTTAAAAACACTTGTATACAAGTAATTTAATGTAAAAAGTCTCGGTTTTAAAAGTTTGACATCTTAATTGACAGTTGTCAACTGTCAAACTTACATAATTCTAATAAGGTTTACCTCAATACCCTGAAAATATTTTTATCTAAGTAATTTAATGTAAAAACTGTCAAAAACTCCCGTTTTTAAAAGTTTGACAGTTTAATTGACAGATGTCAACTGTCAATATTACATATTGCTATTTAGATTGACTTTATTGTTCTTAAAATACTTTTATATGAGCAAAATTTTGTTTGATTTACTAAACTAAACACAAAAACTGTCTAAATTCACACAAAAACTGTCATTTTAAAAAGATTAACAGCTTTTTTGACAGCTGGAAGCTGTCAAAACTTTTTTTTGACATCGGATTCGTGTTCAGCACATCCAAAACCATAAATATATATGTCGACAAGGCAAAAGATTAATTAAAAAAAAAGTTCTCATACAAAATGTAAAAAAGTGCACTAATCCTATGTTAAACCCCATTTAAACTTTAACCCTTCGGTGGCACGGGTTAATATTGATCAATTGGGCTGTTTTTTTGCATAGCTTATTTTTTTCACATTCTAAAGCAAATTCTGCCCGGCGAACTAAGAAATTCCAACTTTCGCAAAATAACGGTCACCCTAATGTATTACTGTTCTTTGACTTATCCCAGCGCAGTTAAATCGTTGCCGGGCCCATAACCTGTTGGCATGCGCTTTATTTGGGATAGGTTTAAGTCAATCAAACACTTTTAATATGTACGGAAAAACAGTCGTTTATTGTAATCGATACGATCCACGTCTTGACGGTCGAAAGATATATATATAGGAAGTAAGTGGGTGAGGGAGTGCGTGCGCATACTAGTGTAACTCGGACTCATAACCGCTATAGTCAATCGAGTAAAGCATACCGCGAACATTCAAAAACAATTTAATTTATAATAAGAAATTTTAAATTTTAATTGATTAGTTGCTTTTTAATTTTCAGCACCAACTACATCTCGCGAAGGACTGTCTACCAGTTCAGTAACAAAGACTGAGGAGGAGAAATCTCGAATTTCGGAAAACCCATTTTTGACTTCTAGTGGAAGATTGAGTTTAAAATGTTAGTGTTTAAAAGTTGTATTTTAAAAATACTTTTATTTACATTTAAATTTTAAAATTTACATTTGTAATTTATTTGTTTATTTTTTCACTTTTTCAGCAAAAAATGAATCTCGAGAAACACCACATTCTACTAGATTAGTTTACCGTCAAACTGAGCAACAAAAATCATCTGAAAAATTGACATTTTCTCCTTCATCATCATTGTCATCATTGTCAACTTCAAAGACAGAAAAGACTGAACCTCCAACAGCAGAGAAGAAAACTTTTGTCCTGAGTGGAAGATTTAGATTAAAATGTAAGTTTTTTAATAGTTAACCAAGGAAAAAATGATTCGTACGAATTTTGTTTGGAATTCGTACGAATCATTTTTACCTGAGTACATTTTAAAAACATTTTATTAAAATAACAATTTAAAAATTTTAATTTATGAATTATTTTCTTCTTTTTCAGCACCAAGTGATCCTCCTGAAAAGCTTTCACACCGTGAAACAGATTCACAAAAATCAGTCGAGATAATGTAATTACCGTCATCTGTTCTACCAAGTACAAGTAATAAAAAATCAAATTCTTTAAAATTAGTGTTGAAAAAAAAGACATAATTCATCATTATTATCTCTTTTTAGCATCATTTCGTGAATTTAATGTTGCAATCGTGAAAGATAAAACGCAGAATGAGCAAACAATTGTTGCTGATGTTAATGCAGGACCATCTACTTCTCATTCTGTTTATCGTGTACCAACAGAAACATCATTATCATCATCGTCATCAACTGGACTCGATTTAAAAATCACTTCTTCAACAGTAAAGAAATCGAAAAATCAAAAAGCTAAATTTTCCCTTTTAAGATCAACTTCAAAAAGAGAAGGTAAAATTTTTATTCTACTTTCTTCTATTATATTTTCTTAATCACTCTTAATATAAAATTAATAAAATTTCTATTTATTTTAATTATAGGTGTTGACTCATCAATTGAAAGTGGTGGCCCCTCTTCAAAACGAAAGAAATACAGAGTCGAGAAATCTGCAATTGGTGTTTCTACAAACAGAAAAAGAACGTCAATTACTTTAGATAATGAAAATATTGATAAACCGTTGCATTATAAAGTGAAAAGAAGATTGGAATTAATGGGAACAGACAAGCATACGGTAAAAGTTTGTTTGGCAAAATTATGTAAATCAGTAAAAATCAAAAATCGAATTGAAGAAGATGCAAAGGTTGTTTCATCAATGATGTATGAGGAAACAACAATGGCATTATTCGGCCTATATGAAGAAACGAATGTTTATTTATTTATTATTTTATTTAACAACATAACGGGACATGCCCTTTCGTACATTACGTACTCCCTAATTTTAAGAGTTACATTTGTAACATATAAAAACAGATACAATATGAAGGTTGGCGCCTTTAAAAGTTTAAGTTCGGTATAGATGTAAACACCGTTGTAGTATAATAATGAAAATAAAGTTATATAATTAGACATTTTTGTTTTTCCAATGAGTCCATTAGAAAGTTAGTTATTGTAGTGAATCTTACAGTTTAATAGAAGAATATCAAAATAATATAAATAAATGACAAATTTGTATCTCTATCCGAATTTTTTTTTTTATTGTTTATACTCCTGCCCTATTGGCCTTACGCACTTCGACAAGAGTCCCCGAGAAATACTTTTTTTGGATTAAGCATAACCATTCTACATATGAAAATTCTATATATTAACCTAATTTTGCGTCTACAGCCGACTTTATTAGGAGTACTCGCATTCGCCTGGACCACCCGTCAATGGGTTTTCTCGCCAGAGAAGAGGGAAACTGTAGAAAACCTCTCTGAGTACAACCGGTTTTATCGACAGTCGAGTTCTAATGGTGTGTACCGGACAATAATCGACGGTGCACATCATTATACCTCGACGTCAAACCTCCCGCTCAGATTATCTCACGTGCCGGAAAAATACCAAGCCAAATGGGCGCGAACCAAGGGTACTTATACCCTTGGTCCTTAAACGACCGCCAAGCGAGGCATCTATCCGACTGAGCTAATTTGTCGGTTTCTCTATCCGAATTAATTTTAAACAATTAGTAAAAATTATATGAAAAATAAAATTAAAAATTCTGAATGAAATAAGATGTTTAAAAAGGTCTAGAAACTGTAAGAATATATAGAAATTCAAAAAGTAACATAAAAATGAGGAGGTTTATACAAATACTGCTTTAAAAGATTTGCAAATGGCAAGTGTTATTCAAGAAATTAAAGAAAAAAAGGCAATTTTACAAAAAAAGAAAAAAAATTCAAGAAAGAATAATGATCCTCTTCAAAGAGCAGTTGATAAAATGGACGATGAAATGAAGCGCTTAAGAGAAATGAACAATGAAGGAAGGTGGAATTCAATGTTCAACTTTAAATCAATTCAAAGAGGTCAAAAATTAAAGAATGGTTGTGAATTTTCTGGTACAATAACGACAAATGGTGTGGACGTGTCAGTAATTTTTTATTTTCCCACAAAACATGTTGTGAAATCAAAGAAGAAAGTTGGAAGTTACAAAAAATTTTGTGGTTTTGAACCTGGTGCAAGGGCGACCATGGCTGGCGTCAGTAGAGAAAACGATCCTAATCCAACAACTCGATGGGTTAGTGGAAAAAAGGACACCTCGAATTTTGTTTGAAAAAGAGGACACCTCGCATTTTAGTTGAAGAAAAGGACACGTCGAAAATATTCATTTTACATCAACTTTTGTTTGGCGATACTTTGTGTAATGTAATTGTTTTTCGAGTTTTTGTAATAGAAGATTTAAGAACATATTATCTTCATAGTTTTTTGAGCACAAAATATCATAAATCAATTACTTTACACATATTATCGTTAAACAAAAATGCATTTAAAATTAATATTTTTGAGGTGTCCTTTTCTTCAACTAAAAAGCGAGGTGTCCTCTTTTTGAACCAAAATTCGAGGTGTCCTTTTTTTCCACTAACCCAGCGAACTAATCTAAAAAAGGATTCATCTATTTACATTGGTAGTTGGATGATGAGATGGCAGATGGGCGACTACAGAAGAAGAGAATTAATGAAAAAAAGGTATAGACATGCAAAAATATTACAAGCAACTTGCTGATGATCCATTGATGGAAAATTTTTGCATGACTAATCCTTGAGATCGCCATCGCATACCTAATTTTATCAAAGGATACACTAAAGCTCCTTTCAAACGTATTCAACAAACTCTTTTCCAAAGATCAGAAGAATTAGGAAAAGATAAATTGCAAGTCGTGAAAGTAAATAAGTTTAATACAACAAAAATGTGTACTCGCTGTGTGAAATAGATGGAAATAAATATAATTTTGAGTTTATACCTACTATGGTTGATGATTAGTGGAAAAATTTATTGAATTAACGAAATGAGGAGCTTTGCCTTCGATTATTTACATTTTTGTCTACTTTGTAAATGATACAGAATAATTTCAACTTTTACAATAAGCAGTATCAACTTTCTTTGTTATGATTTTTTTACCTTAGTTGAAAACAAAATGTACAAAATACGTACATTTTTGGATCTCTAGAATAATTTCCTGCTTTTTAATAATTAAGTGCCTAATGCATAATCATTTTTAATTACCTATAAAAGTAATGACGGTACGACTGTACGAATATCTGACAAAAGTGAGGTTAAGTAGTTTTTCATGTAAATATTTTGCTTTTCGAAGCGAAGAATAATATAATTAATATCCCAGATAGTTAAAAATTTGTTAATAATAAATATCAATGTTAGTTGTATATCTCTCCCTTCTTTAAACTTGAAATAAATTTTACTCTGTCGACTTATTAAAAAAAAGGAAATTAATTGTTTGTGTATATTCAAAAAGAAACATTTATAATTAAAACTAACATTCTTAAAATACAATAAATATTTATTTTTTCAGGTACCTTCTTGATTTTCGAATGTTGGTAATCACTAAACAATAAAAGAAGCCCATTAATTCTTTAAAATTAAAGAATTTGTAACGAGTTATCATGTGTGGGGCGAAGAAATCTTGTCACGTCGTTGGATGTAAATCGCGTAAAATCGACGAAAAACCGACATTTCACGAGGCGACGGCAAGTTATGCCCAAAATCACTGTATCGCGTCAGAATCGCGGAAGTCGCGCTGCGACGAGCTCTGTTTACCCGTTAGCGGGGTAAGTAAGAAAAATATACAATTGCATATAGAAATGTAAATGATAATTCGGAATTGTCTCGTTATAGTTTTTTGGAACTGAAGCAATAAATATCAACGGCATATTCGGGTCTATCGCCACTTCCCTTTTTTCTCGTTGCTTTGTGGGAGAGGTGCGACTTTGGCCCGAGCACGTTGTGTGGAAGAGTGACGATTGGTGAACAATCTATTGTAATCGGCTTCTGGAGCGGCGTCTTAGTAAACCCATTTGTCCGAGTGGATCGACAACGCGTGGCGGGATTAGGCTGATCAATTTAATTATTTTACATAACTCGATCACGAGGTGATCTATTAAAGGAAAAATCGACGACATCCTAAATCACGCCTGCGATGCGCTAAGCCTACTCCAGAAAATCCGACAAAGAAAATAAGATAAGTAGTTTCAATTGTTCCGCGATTCTCAATTTATATTTCGAAATAATTCTACCATTTTATTAAATTGTTAAAAAGCAAAAGGAAGAAAACAGCTGTGTCCAAGGATCAAAATTTTATATTGTTCATTTTCTGAATTACAATATCGATGAATGAAAGAGTGAATGAATGCGTGCGAATTGTTCAATTTGGTTAATGATTGTGACGAATGCTAAATAATAAATTTTATATCAGTAATCGATTGCCAATTAATCACAAAAATCCACCCCGGAAGATTAAGAATTTCAAAGAAACTATCTTTTATTCACAAATATAATTGAATTAAATTAAAATAACTACAAATTATTTCTCAAACTTTTGTAATCATGGAGAATATTTGTCAATTATAAAAAGTCGCCTCTGGACAATCCTATAAATATTGGTAAATATTAATAATATATTTGGTAGTAATTCTAATTTAATTTAATAATTTTAATGAAGAAAGTGAAACATAATTAATGATTAAACGAACTTACAAGTGAAGTTCGATCATAATTATATGAATAACTTGTTCGAAGATATAATAACTTGTAGTACCGCAACTTGTTGTCGGATGACGCCACTGTTCAGAGATAGAAAGAGAAAAACTCACTCCTCTCTCTCTCTCTCTCTCTCTCTCTCTCTCTCTCTCTCTCTCTCTCTCTCTCTCTTTGTCTATCACTTACTACCTACTCTCTACCTTTCATTTAGTTTAGAGAAGGCTTAATTAACTTATAATAATTAACAAGTATTAATTATTATTACATATATATATATATCGATATATCTATAAATTTATGTAATATATGTATTGTAATACATATTATATACAATCATAATATAAATATATTTTATTTATTTTGCTTATTGATTTATTTTTATTATTTTATTAAATTGTTCTTATTTATCTATTTTTTATTTTAGGGGGGGATAAGTTTTAAATTTCCAAATATTTCTAGCTTATATGTATATTGTTACTATTATATGTAATAAAAAAGGGTGGGAATATATATCTTCGAACAAGTTATTCATATAATTATGATCGAACTTCACTTGTAAGTTCGTTTAATCATTAATTATATTTCATTTAACTTGTTCGAAGATATAATAACTTGTAGATGTTTAGAGTAGAATACATTCTATGTTACATTCTATGTTACATTCTAATGTTACAACATTCTGTAAGATTTACAATGTCTTCT